ATGAGAAAATGGACAATTCTGAAAAATTGACTGAAGAAATATTTGGGCAGGTTTTTTATCAAGTTGATTGATTCTGTAGAACTTTCAGTGTTTTTCAGTAAAAAAAAAAATCCCACTTCTGGATCAACTATCACTCTGTCTATCATTGATTGACCTAATAGTCTGAGCCACTGGCTGAATAAAAGAAAACAAACAAGATAAAATTCCATGGGAAAGTTGATTCAACCTGGAAATAACTTTCTGACAGTGAGAACAATCAACCAACAGAACAGTTATCTTCAGAAGTCCTGGGAGCTTCATCACTGGAGGCTTTCAAGAAGAGATTGGACTGCCATTTGTCAGAAGTGGAGTAGGGTCTCCTGCTTGGGCAGGAGGTTGGACTAGATGACCTACAAGGTCCCTTCGAACTCTTTTCTGATTGATTGATTGAACAAATATGTGCCAACAGTGTGGGGTGACAGCCAAAAAAGCCAATGCAATCCTAAATTGCATTGAGGGATAAAATCAAGATCAAGTGAGGTACTAATACCACTCTATAAAGCATTAGTAAGACCACACCTAGAATACTACATCCTGTTTTGGTCGCCACACTATAAAATGGATGTTTACACTCTAGAAAGAGTGCAGAGAAGAGCAACCAAGATGATTAGGGGACTGGAAGTTAAAATATGCGATGAACGGTTAAAGGAACTGGACATGGCTAATCTAGTGAAGGAAAGGACCAGGGGAGACATGATGTTCCAATATTTGAGGGGCTGGCACAGAGAGGAGGGGGTCAAGCACCTGAAGGCCAGGCAAGGAATAATGGATGGAAACTGAACAAGGAAAAATTCAACCTGGAAATAAGGAGACACTTTCTGACAGTGAAAGCAATCAATCAATGGAACAGAAGTTTTCTTCAGAAGTTGTGGGAGCTTCCAAGAAGAGACTAGATTGCGAACTGTCAGAAATGGTGTAGTGGGGTTAGAGTAGATGACCTACAAGGTCCCTTCAAAACTCTGTTAATCTGTACCTTATGAGGTCAATAAATTACAAAAAGAACAGGGAGTCTAACAGTTCCTGCTATTGTGATATGTTTATTCCTAATTCTTGAAGGACTTCAAAAGAAATGCTTCTTTTAAACGGAAAGTTGGAGGAGTACCTAGCAGAAATAGATAACCAGAGGAAGCTATGCTGGCTCACAGCAACTTGAACCTGCTATTGTGATGTTCGTATTATGGAAGAACACAAAAATAATCCAGTCCAAACTAGGGGGGAAATAGAAGGAGAGAGCACTCAGCACACCCACTTCACTTCCTGAAGGGAGAATGCAAATCTAATCTTTTCCCTTTCTTACTTGATTTGGAGGTTCAACCGCTGCTTGATCTCTGTCATAAGAACCAGAAAACTCCATTCTTTGTTTCTCTGTAAGGAATAAATAATTTCAAAATGCATATTTAACAAAACAGGAGGAAGTATTTTATAGAAGAGAGAGCGAAGGTAAGACAGATGGGTAATTGGAGGATCTTCCATTACCTCCTGAGGTGTCCCAACTTAGATCTTCCCAAGGGATCCTCCTGAAAAATAGCTCCTGAGGGGGATTTGATGGGTTCTTCTTTCCCTCAGGATCTCCGATCTCCACACTGCAGCACTTTATATAGGAGAAAGGAAAAAAGAATTAATGTTGATCAAATGAAATAAAGTAGATTTTTATATTCGGAACTCAACCTCAAAGACCTCAATATCTATCCATTGTGGTTGAGTTGAAAAAATAATGGAACAATGTTCTACAAGAATTGGTGGGAGATCGTCATGTATTATGAACGCCAGAGAAGTCTGGGTAGGAGAGGTGAAGTATTCAAACACATTTTGTATTCTTTTTTGAGCTCCCTAAAGCGTCTCACCTGCAAGTGGACCTGCTCCTTCTGCTCCTCTGCCTGGCTCAGGAGGAAGCCTTCCGCTAGGGCCACCACCTGGGAGCTGGTCTCTGCTCCACACTCCCGCACCCAGCCCTCCATCTCTGGGGGCAGAAGAGCCAGGAACTGCTCCAGAACCACCAGGTCCAACATCTGAGCTTTGGTGTGCTTTTCTGGTCTCAGCCATTGCCTGCACAAGTCATGGAGCCGGCTGCAAAGTCCTCGGGGACCCTCAGCCTCCAGGTATTGGAGGCTCCTGAAGTTGCAAGGCTGGACTTCTGAAGGGAGGATGGTTTCCTCCTCCAGGATCTTCTGCCCAGGCCTTGTCCAGATCTCCCCACCCTTCCCAAGCTGAACAATTGAAGAGCATTTTCCATTTCCCTCCTTTGCAAAAGGTTGTGTCTCCATCCTTCCTCTTTTCTGCAGAGCAGCTCCAAATGGGTCCAAGGACTCTTGTGGATCTCAGATGCCTTTTCCTTCGAAGGACAATTTCTAGTGCCTATTTTGCAGGACTTGCAGTGATCAGGACTGATTGATCCCTGCAGGTTATTTCCTCTTTTTTTTTCTTATTTTTTTGCTTAAGAGAAAATTCTGGCTTGCAAAGATTTTCAAATGGCTTCGAGTTTCTGTACCTGGGATGGAAAGAAAAAGCAACGCCAAGAATCAGAAAGTGGAATTCAGCCACTGAGCAACCTTCACCCAACCTGCCCTGAGCCCCAAGCGGCTTATCCCAACGCAGTGTCCACTTCCCCTCCGAGCAGGGCCGGGAAGAAGGCAGCTGGAGAGGCCTCCCGCTTCTCTCCCCTTCCGGAGACAGGACCGGGCTCTCGGGGAGCCGGGTGCGAATTCTGCCTCCTCCTCGCCCGGCTTCTCTCCTCTCCTGCTGGGCCTCCGCAAGGCCGACCCTCCGCTCCCCCCACTAGGGGCTCTTCCCCGGGCACGGGACGGGATCCCCGGATCCCCGCCGTCTTCCTGGCATCCCCGCTCCCCCCTGCATGGAGAGGACGGCTGGGGAGCATGGGACCTGTGCTTGAACCTGCAGGAGGGACGGGCGCGGGTCTCTCCCTCCTCTGCCTCCCTTTGCCCGGGAAGAGCCCCCTACCACTCACCCGAAGCACGTCTGGATCTCTCACCGCCAGACTCCCGCAGCCTCTCCGCCGCGTGCTGAGTCCCGGGAGTTAAGGAAAGCGAGTGCGGCCTCCTAGAACGGCAAGCATTTGGGATGGCACTTTCTTCCCGGTCTCCCCTTCAAATCCAGCTATTAAGTTCCCCCTCCAGTGGATCAACGAGGAAGCGACTGGAGTTACCTTCTCTTGGCGGAGGGCGCCCCCTGGTGGATGTGCCGCAAAATGCCCGGATTGTAGAAAGGGCAGGAAAGAAGACTGTGTCTGAGGGGGAGGGACAGGGCCTTGGGAGTAGGAGGAAAGGCTCCTGCCCGACAAAAGCTTCGATATCTCTGGAGGGCACTTTCTCCATCTTTATTTATTTATTTTATTTATTTGATTTGCCAATTGTTTACAAGATAATAAGTATAAATGTATACATAGTTGTGAATACATGAAATGGTTACATATAAGAAAAATAAAAGAATAAGAGAAACAATAGGACAGGGACGGTAGGCACGTTGGTGCGCTTATGCAC